GGTGCCGCGTGGGGCTGCGTGGCGTCCGGCGAGGGTCCCGCGGGGGGTGGGGAGTTCGCGGGGTTGGGGTGCAAACGGCGTGGGCGCTGCGAAGGGAAGCGCGGGAGGGAATAAAGGGCTTTTTTGCCCCACTGCGCTGTGCGGTTTGCCGTTGTTGCTGTCCTTTCTTCCTTAGCGGGGCGGCAGTGCCTTGACCGTTCCTTCTTTTTTTGTTTGTGTGTGTTGGTTGAATGCACCCATTCTGCGGGCTGCTTATATCTGTGTGTGTGTTTGCCCCGTTTTCTCTCTCTATTTCTGCCCCTCGCTAGACGCTGTGCGTGCGTGTGTGTGTTTGCTGCGGTGGGAGGAGTGTGGCGATGGCTGGCCGTGCGCTGTTGGTGTGCGCCCTCTGCGTGCTGTGCTGCGCCGCCGGCGGGGGCTGGGCGTGGGACCACCTGTGCCCTGGATATGGAAAGGAGCAGTTGAACGTAACAGAGGACGGTGGGTGGAAGTTCTGCACTTACAACGAAACCTTTGCGGCGACCACGACAAATAAAACTGCTGCAACTGCCGGTGTTTCCGCGAGTGTCGGCGGAAAAGGGCAGGCTGCCGTAAGTGCCGACGGTGCTGTGGGAGGAAAAGTGCCGGGTTCCGACGCGTCCTCTGGGAACTCAAGTGGGACGGATGTGCGGAGCCCACCGGCAGCGCCACCTTCATCCCCTCCTCAAGTGCCTCCCTCACCTCCTACCGGACAGGGAGTTGGGCAGGCCCAGAGCACGACCGAAGGTGTGCCAAAGGAGAGAAATGAACAGGAAACGGCTGCACTACTTGAAGGTGCCCAAGCGAATCGGTCGAATGAAAGTTCAAAGCAATCGCCTGCGAACTCTTCGCCCCCCGCTGAGGACGAAGGTGCTGCCGTCGGCGGCGGGCCGACTCAAGAGGGCACGGTGGGGAAGGGCGTTGCGGCTTCACCGCCTGAGAGCGCGGTGCAACAAAACCCGGTCCAGCGTGGCAACACTTCCGCCGCTACGGCAGTCGCTGGGGGTGCTTCAGAGGCGGCAGAAGACACTGCCGGTGACGAGGGAAGTAATAACTCCGGGAGTAACAGCGGCAGCGGACCCGCGACGCGGCCGCAGCCGGAGAGTTCCGTGGCGGCAACCGAGGCTGGTGATGCACAACAAAAGGAGCTGCCCACCTCCCAAAGCCAAACGGAAAAGAGTGGCGGCGGTGAAGAACAAGCCGCTCAGCCGGCAGCGGGGGAGGCTGCTCAAGCGGCGACCACCACCAACTCGACGAGTGCAGCGAAGGCGTCGCCCGGCGACAGCGACGGCAACAGCGACGGCAGCAGCACCGCGGCCTCGCACTCCGCCTCCCCCCTTGCGCTGCTTCCTCTGCTTGCGTGTGCGGCTGCCGCTGCGGTGCTGGCCGCGTGAGAGACTGAGCGAGAAGGAGAGGGCCGTGCACACACATCTCGCCTTTCTCTGTTTGTTTCTCTCGCTTTGTGTGTGTGTTTCCCTGCACGGACTCTCTCGCCCTCGCCGTACCCCACGAGGCACACACACATAATGTGCTCATAACTATACACAACTCCACTCATGCAGGCTCGTTGGTTTTCTTCCTCTTTTGCACCCGACGAGCCGCTGCCATCCTGCTTGGCCGCATGGGTACAGCACCGTAACTGTTTTTGTCTTTTTTGTTTGTTTGTTTGTTTCCATTGCTTTCAGTGGGCGGCCTCTCTTGCTTCCTCTCTCTTCCTGGATTGGGCTGTGCGGGAACAGAGAGATGGAGTGTGTGTGTGTGGTCGTCCCGCGTGTTGCTGCGCGTCTCCACTGCTCGGTGGACGCGCCCCCACGCTTCGGCTTCACTTCACGAGGTTTTGTTTGGTTTGTTTTGAATTTTTCTGTGCTTGTGTTTGTGTGGTTTGAGTGGTCTGTGCCCGTTTCACTGCCTCAGCCGCTGACGTATCCTCCCCGCAGGCGCTGACGCCTTCTGTTTGACTGTCTCTCTCTCTCTCCCCCTCCTCTTTCTTCTGTCCAGGTTGGCAGCTTCTCGTTGCCTGAACGGGTGCAGAAGCGTTTACTTTACGCAAACGTCATGCTGCAGTTTTCCCGTGCCCCGTCGCAGTGTACGCGGCTGCTGGTCGCTGATGGCGGTGGTGGTGGCGGTGTTTTGTGGCGGCGGCTGCCGTGCCGCCTCGCTGGCGTACCCCTGCACCTCCGACGCGGTGGTGCGCGGCAATGGCAGGTTGAAGTCTGCCGCTGTGGTGGTGAAGTCCGTCCCTGCGCCGGGAGAGGCCCAGTCGGGGGAGTACGTTGTCCTGACGGGGCGCTGGGCGCCGATCCGCATCGCGGTGTCGACGGAGGACCTGAAGGACACCAACAGGAAGTACTGCAGCTCTTCGAGGGGTTCCAAGCCGAATCTGCTGGGCGACAACTTCGCCGACTGCAGAAGTGATGTATTGTCGTCCCAGCAGAAGAAAGCGCTCGTCGGGGGCGTCATCCCTGACGCCGTCAAGCTGCACGCGGAGCGACTGCTGGTGCGGCCGCTGAGTGGGCCGCTGAAGGTGCCCGCATTCGCCGCTGGCAGCGTTTGCGACCAGTTCACGGTGCCTACCGCCCACCGCACTAAGGGCGTTGACAGTGCCGACATGGTGCTCTACTTCGCCGCTGCGCCGGGCGGGGTGTGGGCGTTGCCGTGCGCCACGCTGGAGGACGGCCGCCCAATCGTCGGCGCCGTGAACTTGGCGCCGGCAAATTTGTTTCACGGACGCCTCGCCACCCGCATCGCCGCGCACGAGATCGCCCACGCGCTCGGCTTCTCCTACCAGCAGATGGCGGCGCACCGCATGGTGAGGAATCTGACCGGCGTGCGCGGCAGGAGGGTGTCGGTGGTGGTGAACTCGACGAATGCCGCGATGGCTGCGAGGGAGCACTACGACTGCGACAACATTCGGGGCATGGAGCTGTACGACGTGGAAGGGGACGGGACGGCGCTGCAGTCGCACTGGTCGGAGCGCAACGCGAA